AAAAGAATCCAACAAACACACAAAAAAAGGAAAGAAACAACAACAACGCCACATGCATGAAAGAAGAAACAAAAATTTAAAAGAAGGCGGGGACGATGTTGTAACTGGTGATTCATGTTGCTGCTGCCCTGTACACGATGATATTCTACGCGGAGGTGGGTACGACCAAATCCCTTAGCTTTCCTGTCCTTTTGCTGCTGTGTCTCTTCTCTATGCGGGAGCTTCTTCTTCTTCTTTCAGCTGGATTGAGTCCTTGAAGGGAAGCGGCGGCGGACACGCCGTTGTTATTGCTGCCCAGCGTCACTGCTAACGGGGGAACACCGAAGGATAACACCATTGCGCCTTTTGGTGTGGGTGAGTGTGGCGGTGACGAGGACTGCTAGGGAAGCACTGCGAACAGGGAGAGGCAAAGAAGCTCCACAATGACGCATTTGAGTGTCTATGGCGGCCTCTTCTCGGACCCGCCGCTCATCTCGACAGATGTTGACCCGAAGAAGACGGATCCCTACAACAAGATGGACACCATCCCGTCGCGCTACCTCGGCAAGGGACTGAGCATAGGTCGTGGTGCGACGGGAAACAACCCCGAGGTGTACTTTGACAAGAAGTACCTAACCCTGGCCTCGCCGGAACAGAACAACAATAAAGACATGGGTGCCTTTGAGGACGCCGACACACGCAGACGTCGAGAGGCAATGGAGTCTAAGAAGAAGAACATCTCCGACAAGGTGTTCCTCCTACCATCCTATCCAAAGCGGAGTGATGGCCCTGGGAGCTACACCGGTTGCTTTCAGAATCGAGCCTTTGAGTTTATAATGCCAGTGGAGGACGACAAAAAGAAGCGCCGGCGGAAGAAGCCCCCTGTGACGGAGGTGGTTGACAAAACCAGGTCTAGCCTTCCCAATGTTAAAACCAATCCACCTAAGAAGGGAACCTACGGTGTTCCCGGGACCCTCCTTGACAATCCAAAATACGATGAGAACTGGCAGCAGGAGATTGAGAAATTGGAGGCGCTGCGGGCAAAGCGGGAGAAGAAGGTTCCGCAACCAAAGCCAATGGGCCCACCATTTAAAATTTCAGGTGTCACCCACGATTTTTTAGATGAGCTCCCTGCTACCGGCGTGTCCGGCGTGTATCGCCACGAACCCGTGGAGGAAAAACCCTCAAAGCACAAGGTGCGAGAGAAGCCACATGCGGCTGTTGCAGTTTTCACTCAGGAGAAGCCCATGATGTTTGTGTGGAGCAAATTGGGTCAAGACGGCTGCATTGCCGATTTTCCCAATACCTGGATTGACCCAGAGGCCTTGGAGCGGGAGCGAAATAAGGGAAAGAAGAGGTACCGAAAGCCAAAGCCAGAGTACATTCCCGGGCCTCCTAAGGGAGTAAGCGGAATATGGAGGCCAAATTCATTCCCTGAAGTATCGATCGTGCAGTCTTGTCTTCGTCGATTCTACTAGACCTGGACACTGCGGGAGCCTTTCTGTTTCTTGATGCCCACAACAGCGTCTCATCATGTCTTTTGTGAGACACGACAGTTTGGAAGGGAAGAAAAGCAAGAACAAGGCAGTGAAAGGAAGACCTGTACCAACAAATTAGCACATAGACAAGCCCTAGCTTGTCTGAAACGGTTCATATGTATGAAACAATTGCCCAATGTCGAGAAACAAATACAAAGGAGTGAGATCACAATTTGTATTTGTGTTATGACGTTTACGCTGTTTGCCTCTTTTTTTTTTTGTACGGTTTGATCTCAACTCACCGTGGTTGCATATATGTATAATGTCTATATGCAACTATGTGGGTGTTTATATCCCCTGTACTTGGGTGACCCGGACAACATGGTGTTTTCATTGAGGGATGTTGCTGCCGCTGACAGCTGACACGGTGGCTCTTTTTATTTGATTGCCACACACACACACACACACACACACACACGTTCTTTTTCTTTCTCTTCGTCACTCTATCTTTTTCTATCTGGCCGATACCTCCTTACGCTCTCTCATGCGTGTGCGTGTGTGATTGCGTGTGCCACGAGGGAAGCAAGCAAAGCGAAGATAAGGAAAAATACGATATCCGACACGTAGCTGCTGCAGGACTTATAGCTGCGTGACCGGGCCCTATACTCATAAATACCGGCGGGAAACCAACGAAGCAACATAAAGGCAACAAAACAGAGGACTACGTTGTACAAGTAAGGCAAGCACTCATTGCCCCTCGTTGTTCACGGCAGCAAAGGCCAGGCACTTAAGGAAAGAGAACACAGGCATTACATTGCAACGAAAGACACAAAAAAAAAAACTAAACTAAACTAAACTTGGATCAACAAAGCCTCACAGTCGGCGTGTTCTCACTTACCATGGCGCAGGTGGCAGATGAGTCCAAGGCGATGGCCTCAGAGGTATTCCTCAGCAAATACCGCAAGGTGAAATCTATTGGAAAAGGTAGCTTTGGTGAGGCAGTGCTAGTGCGGTCGAAAACGGATGGAAAACGCTACGTAGTGAAGGCGATTGAATCGGCGTCAATGACGGCAAAAGAAAAACGCGACGTACAGAACGAGATCCGCATTCTCTCAGCCGTAAACCACCCCAACATCGTCCGCTACCACGAACACTTTGAGGATGGAACCCTCATTTTTATTATTATGGAGTACGCCGAGGGTGGTGACTTGAATTCGCGTATCAAAGAAGCGAAGAAGAATGACCCGCTAAAACCATTTGAACCAAAGTTGGCGATGTTTTGGTTCCTGCAAATATGTATGGCGCTGAAGTATCTGCACGACAACCATATTCTGCACCGTGACTTGAAGACGGCCAACATATTTTTGACGTCCAGAAATGTTGTGAAGTTGGGTGACTTTGGAATTTCAACCGTATTGCAGAATACAATGGCGTGCGCAAAGACGGTGTGCGGCACACCGTACTACTTTTCTCCAGAGTTGTGCCAAAACAGGCCATATAACAATAAAAGCGATGTATGGGCGCTGGGTGTTGTCTTCTATGAGTTACTCACACTCCAACGACCCTTTAATGCCAAGTCACTAAAAGAACTTTTGAAGAAAATTCTTGTGGGCCAATATGATCCCATTCCATCTACGGTCCCAGGAGAATTGCGTGGGCTCTGTGCGGCACTGTTGCAGGTAAATCCTGTTCAACGACCTAGCATAAACCGAATTTTAGAGAGTCCCTTTGTACAAGAGTCTCTGAGAGGCTTTAGTGTGGATCTTGAGAGGCAGGCAGAGAAGGATCGTGTCGAATTTGAGCGAAGGCGCCCAGCTGTCCCCAAAAGTGTGCCGAATCCAACTCCAGATAGACCGAAAGAAGTGCCAAAGCCACCGCCAATGAGTGAACGCGAACAGATGGCTATGCTGCGTGGAATGAATAGGGAGAGTATGAAGGCAATGCTTGCAAAGCAAGCGGCCGCGGATTCAGGTAATGTTGCATCCGTGCCACAGGAGCCAGAAGTCGAGGGACATTCGGACGTGGATGACGATGGAGATTACATTGAGCAAAAGAAGGCTATTGTGCAGCAAACGAAAGAAATTGTTGGCCACACACACTTGGGTGGGCACCCGGAGGAGTTCGGCGACGGACCTTCCACCAGCACCCCCCAGGTCGATATGATTACAATTTCCAACGGAAAATCTGTGCCTGCGTCCTCCGTGCGTGGCATACTGGAGGAGGAGATGGGCGCCGAACTTCTGAATAAGGCTGTGGAGCTTTACAATCAGCGCATGATTGCGAGCGGGCTATCCAATGCAGAGATACAGCAAGAGCTAAACGAGTTGGTTGGGCCGAAATACGCACACCACTCCAACGCTATTACTAAACTTTGCGTGCACGAAGGAAAAGAGAAGCTTTAGAGTGTTTGTGAGTGCTTGCAGTTGCAGATTTGGGGTTTGTTATATTATATATACATGTGTATATTAATGCATGCATGTATATATTCGTTTTTTTTTCCCTCTCGTTCCCCTTTTTTTATTTAAGAGAAGGAAAATGTACCACAAATCAAAACGGGCAGAGCGGTGGACGAAATTCTATGAATCATTTTTTTTTCTTTTCATTTTTTTTTGTCGTCGTAGTATTCGTCCGTATTGCGTAAACTCTGTTTGGGGGTTTAGCATGCTTGGCGTTGTGTGTGTGTGTGATTTTTTTTTTTTTTGAGGGCTGATCCTTATGTTAGCTTTCTCTCCGACGATTGATGTCCTCAGCTTCCCTGCTATTCTTCCTTTCTGTAGGGCCCTCGTTTGTGGCTTCCCTGAAGCAACAAATGTATGCCACGGCTGTGAACGTGCGCCTCTGGGGCAGGTGCTGGGAGTTATTCTGCAATGAAGACCACCAGAGGTGATTGGAAGCAGGAAAATAGCAAACGAAGAAGTGGAACAAAAAACCAGTCGAGGGGTGAATGAATCAAAAAAAGCTACATAAAATAAGGGGGATACAAAAAAAAAAACACTGTCTGCAAGGAAGCGGAGCATGTTTCGGTGTATTTTTTTTTTTGGAATACGACAATCTATTTCATCGTTTCGCGTTGCAGAACTGCCGAGTGGGTGGAATGACCCAGAAACAGTTATGCGTGTGCGTGCAGGTGCGTGTTTGTCTGTCTTTTTCGAGGTATGTGACATGTTCTTGACGCACACGGTCGTGGAGAAGCGCTCAGGTTTTTTTTTCTTTGAGTTTTGTGCTTTGTATTTTCCTTCTCATCCCCACAACTCTTTGCTTCCTCCCGAGGAGGTGAGCTCAGCGGAACTAAGAGGGAAAACAAAAAGGAATATAACGGTGCCGAAGATAACAATGCGCGAGCGGCCACGGTTGACTGTTCGACGAGGCCGCGGAGAGACACCGTATCTGCAGGGGCTGTTGTCGAGGGTGAGTGAGCCACGGATGGTGTCACCGCACAACAACTTGCATGCCACCACTACAAGCGCCAATACCCGCTCTCGATCACCAAATCGTCAGCCGGTGAACACGATACAGTCATACTGGGCACGCATCGCTGAACTCGCACAGGAGACATTCAGAGGCCTCTTGCACCCTTTGAATGGTGTACCAACAACCCCAAACACGGGTACCACCAATGAGGTCAGGGGGACGCAGTCTCTTCTTCCTCCAGCCTCACCCTCAGTTTACGAGCGGCCTGCAAACACCACTTCCTTGGCACCAGAAGCATCACGTCAGGGCTGCCAATTAGTTGACACAAATTTCACTGTACCACAGCGATCCGGTATTGTCCATGAGACTACCTTTCCTGATGCACCACGCGTGCCACTTCCATCACAGTCCATGACACCATCAGTGGAATCCAAACCGCAGATTATCTATAACTTTTATTATATGAACAGTGGTGTCCCAACGTCTTTGCCAGTCGCACCATTCCAGATGCTGCAACCAGAATTTACCGCGCAGTCGTCGCCCGCACTGAACCGAACAAGCATTTTGGCTTCTCGCCCACTCTCATTGAAGCGTGAGCGTGAAAGGCAAGAAAACGCGAATTCGCTTGGACACATGACGCATACAGAGAGGCTTGCCGCCTCATCTGTCCATCCAATCATTAATGAAAGCAGTAATACTTTTCCTGCTTCAAATATCAGTTGCAGGACTTCTCTGAATACGAGTTACTCTGGTGAGATGGCGGCAAAAAGGATGGCTACAGAAAATTATGTTACACAGCAAATGGGTGACAAAAAATACAGTGATTTAAGAGCTAAAAACACAACTGAGGCAAGATCCACTGGGCTACGTCAACCTCCTACACAAAACAGCACATCGCCTTCTACGACCTTCGTGAGGAGCGGCCCGCCAGCAGTGATTCCTGAGGATGACGGTTTTGCTCCTAATGCTGAAAGTGAAGATGAAGATACCAAAAAGCCGATGCCTACTGCACCGACTTCCTCCAAGCCGTTCTCGCTTGGCACTGCATCCTCGTTGACCAAACCGGCTTTCGGCGCCGGTGCTGTTGCTGTGCCTGCGGCCCCGTTGAATCCTTTCAGCTTTGGCAGTGGCAGCGGCGGCGGTGGTGCAGCTCCTGCCGACAAACCTGCAGCCCCGTCGAATCCTTTCAGCTTTGGCAGCGGCAGCGGCAGCGGCAGCGGCAGCGGCGGTGCAGCTCCTGCCGACAAACCTGCAGCCCCGTCGAATCCTTTCAGCTTTGGCAGCGGCAGCGGCAGCGGCGGT